ACTTCAAGTAATTCTTAGTTCACAGTAAGTATTCAATATATGTTAGCTATTAAAATCAGCTACTGGACTTAATTATAAGGAAGAACATGCAGAAAATATTTGCAAAAATTTTCATTCATATAGCAGCTAAATTGACAAGCCAAATAAGAATGGCTTTTCAATACCTAACATAAAAGTTGAAATGTGAGTGGACTAAAAGGTTCAAATATATCAGGGAACTGGTAATGAAAGATGCAGCCTTATACTGGTAGGTCAATGACTTAACATCCCACAGGTTACTAGTAATTGAAAGGAACTCCTGCTCTCCGGTTCTGTTAAATGTATTACATCCTTCAATATATACCATTCTTGGCTCAACCTTAGAAAATAACCTACACGCATGATCAAGTCACATTTTATTCTTTCTTAAAGATACTTTGACAGCATCAAGCTAAGCAAAACAACTCTCTTAGCTAGGCAGAAGAAATGGGTTCATCTCTTGCTATCCAGAGCAATAGTTGGTGAATGAAGTTTTTACTCTTTTAGAGATAGGGCATAAATGTTTCACACATTCAATTGTAGTTTACAGAATTTCTAAGGGAGCAAAATCACTTAATATGCATTTTTTAAAATCACAATCTTGAGAATGGCTATTAACTAAGGATTTAGCAAACAAAGTTATAAAATCCATAAGATTGGAAAATAGTGAAGATTTGAAGTCAGGTGAGCAATGGAAAATTAAGGCTGGGTGTTTAAGAAAACTGCCTATTAGCAGGAACTATTAGATAACGGAATGTTCTTTTCCTAAGCTCCATAAATGTCAAAAGTAAATTGGAAAACACATTGAAAGAAATGTTCCACCTTATCAAGGGAATAAATGAAATGGTCATGAAACAATCTCATGTTTCTATAAGCTGGGCTGCAAATTAGATGCATAAAATTTACCTACCAAGCTATGAACACGGTAAGTCCAACATTAGGCTTAGTCCGAGTTGCACTGGGAAAAGTTCCATTTCCAGATCCTCAGCCAAAAGCTGAATAATACCCATATGGAAATTTGGAGCAAAATCAATTGTTAAAGTCAGATTATGAGATTTTAACTGCCATTCTAAAACTACTTATACGGCCTTTCTATGTTATTTCCACTTGCCAGATCAACACCCAAGAGTCATTTTGACATTTAAAAAAAAATCCCAATTACACATCCAACTGCTGATTTACAAAGCAAAAGCAACCTGTGATTTTGGCTTCTAAACCCCGTTTGCCTTAGGGATAGATGGATGAAAGAAATTTTAGCCTACTGTTTAAGGGCTAATAGTCCCACATTTCCATATCCCATTTAGGGCGTGCAGATTTTAGCACTTCAGCTTAAAGAGTATCATTTTATATATAGTGAGTGGAGTAAGCAGCAAGCAAGAATGGGATAATAAATGGCAAAGCAGCAAAGAGGCTGTTGCTGCAGGTATCCTCCTATGCCAACTGCCCAAGGAAAATGGCTGTGAAAACCGAACACATTTTTTTTTTCCATGAGCAAAGGATGAGAATTTAATAGTAAAAGAGTAAATTGAGTGTCTGTCCTTTTACCTCTTACTAGAATTTCTTTGTTGTCCTTTGCATGGGGAAGGTTAACAGCTCAACCTAATTCTTCACTCCAAGGAACTTTACAGGCTGTCATTTGGTTAAGGGCTAATGGGTCTTCTGGGATTTGACAGCTGAATGGAGTGCTCATTGGAGCAGGCGGCTCCACAGAAGGCCTGGAAAAGAATGTTTGAGTTGGAGAGAAGGTGCTGCTCCAACTGCTTTTCCACCTGCAAAAACAGAACCTTTGGGGACAGTAGCCCCGCAGTTAACAGGGGATCCCAGGAATGAGAGAGGTGTTAAATTTGCCGGTTCTTCTGTTTAGCCAAGGATTTTCCGACCTTGCTGTTCTTGGCAAAATTTTGAAATATCCCACTTCTCTCACCCTGAGCTTTTCCCTTCCCATTTCTCAGGGATAGTTTTGAGAATCGGAATGACTATTCCAAACAGAGAGACAGAATTTTAAGAGGATGTGAGAGTTACACTCCTGGGTTCCCCACATGTCTCTAAGCAGCACTGGGCAGCTATGGGGTGTTGGTGGAGGCTGTGCAGGGGAGGAGCTGGCAGGGGCAGGTAGCAAACAGCAAATAAAAGGATCAAGTTGCCAACCAACTCAACCTCCACTCCACGTTGCAGAGAGATGCTTCCTAAAACCCCTTGCTGACTAAATCAGACAGAAAATTTTAAAACACTACCAACTGAAAATGCCACAGATTTCACTCAGCAAACTCTGAAAGTCAAGTTCATATTTACCTTGCTGAACTGAGTACAACATTCCTGATGAGAGCACCTTTCAAACTGTTTCTTTTCTAAAATTTCCAATGAAAAACCTGAACCATCTGCATTAGCCTGTTGTGATAAAGTGACGCAGACCTTGTCCTAAACCTAACAATACAAAAATGCTACTTTTGATGAAAAAGCACAAAGAATTTAATTTTCTCTTATGTTTCTTTTAAAAATTTTGTTGTAGTAAAATATATAGAACATAAAATGTCACCATTTTAACTATTTTTAAGTGTCCAAATCAGTGGCATTAATTACATTCACAATGTTGTGCAACCATCATCACTATTTCCAAAATTTTAACCACTTTAAAGAGAAACTCTGTTAAACAAACAAACAGAACAAATTTTTAAAGAATGGTTTTTGCTATCATGACTGCCATGAGTTGTGGTCAACACAACCTTAAAGTAATTAAGATTAGCAGTCACGTATGTATTTTCTAAAAGAAAATGAATTAGCTTAAAATAATTATTGGAAAAGTGTGAAATCACTGCCAACTGATCACTAACCATGAATGGTCTATAATGTAGTTTTGAATAATTCCATCTAATTGATCAGACTTTTTTGTATAATATGAAATTTCAATGATTAAGTAAGCCTGATGACCTGGATAATCATACTAATTATTGAAAAGATAAACATAAAAAATAAACAAACAAAAGCAGAATGTGATGTCAAAGGCTAAAAATGTGGAACTACAAAGGTGAATTTATAAGGCTAGAGTATCAAGGCATGATTAAAATCTAGAACTCTAATATATTACTTCAGAAAGAACATTTCCAAATTAATAGTTAGATTTCAAGGAAAATTTAGATGAGATTTTGAAATGGCTCTAGGTAAGGATTCAGAATATAAGTTTAGGGGGTTCATATATAATGTTATCTCAGCCACTCATTAAATTGTCCTGTTTTTCAAAAGGCAAAAGTAAAATATGAAATATAGATTTACCAGTTTTAGGCACAGCTTCTCATTTCAGTCAATTCTTGCTCATTGATTAGTAAATCCAATCAATGGCAATGACAATTTGAGAAGTAAATCCCTCCATCAAATCTTAAATCTTGCACATTGCACCTTTGAAGTTCACCCTATTCTTTCATCACGACGAATTTCAATGCCATGTGAGGCAAGTGCATCATTTATTTTAATCCTGTTGAAATGAATGGATGAACTTAAATAACAATGCAAGCCTTTTTCTGTATAGTGCTGTAATTCACTTTGAAGTGATAGTTCTTTTAGGATTAAGATGTATACTTTTTGGTTCTTTGACTAGTTGTCCTTTCTTTGTGTACTATATTAATAAGAATTCAAAGCAAGACTAAGTCACAGCTGCCTTCTAATACAAGTCTTAGAGTCTTAAGCAAAATTCTACAAGAGCAGCCAACCCAGTGAAAAATCACTTTGAAGGGAATAAAACTATCATTTAGTAACTACAGGCTATGGTTTTCTATTTAACCACTTGTGTTAGACAGACTATTGATGAAAACAGTTCTGAAAATATTTTCATTTACTGTCACATATCCAGCATTAAAATGAAAGAAGTTTGACATACTATTGCAGAAGAAATAACTATTTATTCTTAACTTATTCTAACATGATGTTTACTGCATAAAGCAATGAATTTATCCAACATTTAAAACAATTTTATGAGATGTTCAAAATAGATATTGTCAAAAAAGATATGCATAAGAGAAAATACACTAGTTAGTTCTTAAGAAGATATGGTGACTAAAACATAATACGGCTTTCTGAAACCATTTCTAGAAATGGTTATACACAAAAACTATATTATGCAATACTAAGATATTTACATGTTGACTTAATTTTAAATAGTTTAACTGCTAATGGTTTCCATTATAGAAATTGTTCAAAAGAAAATGTCAAAAGAAAGAACTGCCTATACATCACCACCTAAAAGAAAATCATCCATAATATTTCAGAATATTTCTTCTTGTATTTCCCTTGTAAAATGTTACTTATTTTTCTTATTTCAAAATTAATAAATACCAGATTATACAAACTTGGATCAATCTACTCACACAACATATGATGATGATGAAGATGATGATGATGATTATAACCCATATATTTCAATTATCTAAAGATAATTATTATAAATAAATTGACAATGTCCTTTGAGTCCATTTTTGAGTATTTATTTTTATATCTTTCTCCAAACATTGTTAATAGTAACAGTATTCCCCTAATTAAAAAATTACTAAATGCTTAATGCAGAAAAGGTGTCAGAAAGAGAGGAAAAAAGGATGTAATAAGAGCATCTATAACCTTAGCCAACAGAAATGTACTGATAATTTTATTCAGATACTATCAATATACTTTGAATCCTACATACTTCCATTATCCATAAATAGATGCTAATCTTTTTAATATGATTTAGAATATCTTAAAGCAATATCTAAGGGTTAACTTAAGGAATAAAAACCAGAAATATTGTCTGTTACTGTCAGGGCAAGCTAAGATAAATGGTAATTCTCATTTTTAGCCATTAAGGCCCTCCAATGTCCCAAAACTCTTTCTAACAAACCGTTCTTTATCCTCCCTTTCTACCCATCTCTTAGCAAGTCAGCTCCCTACTGCCCTTCATTTCCCCTCTGTTGGCTTCACTCATGCTGGTCTCCATTCTCATAACACCACCGTTTCTGTTGTCCTTGATGTTGTTATTTTGCTGTTGCTGTGTGTGTGTGCTTAATCAATCCAGTAACTAGTCTCCCTAGAGGCTTGAGTCCAAGCTTTCCCTAACAGGTATGTCCTTTTCTCCACCTCTAAGACTATATTCCCCAACAGATTTTCAAGGCAGGTACTCAAGACACAGGCAAACAAGAAAAGAACTTAGTTATCAGAATAGGACAGGCAATGGCAAGAAATGGAAAAAGTACGCAATGCCTGGAATTTGACTACCATACAAGACCAGAAAAGGATCCATAACATCGTTGACTTTTGCAGACAGAATGAGCTCCTGCTTTTATGTTTTGCTGCAAATAGGACTAATTTCTAACAGGGTTTGATTTTTATCTAAGAGGTAGCTTAATATCCCCAGCAGTAAAATGAAATATGTTGGAAGACAAAAATCAGGCAAGGCATTACTCTGAATGACTTAAGTCAGTGGAATAATGTAATAACTAGAGATGGATCCAAATTTTGTGAGACTTGAAGTTTGTATAATTTGCGGGACTCTCTAAGAAGAAGAATACAAAATGACAAATACAAAACTGGAAATGAAAGTCATCATTACTTTAGAATAAGAAAAGAAATGCCAACAAAACATTGAAGACCTGGAGATTTGTGTACGTCTGTATTTTTAGATCTCTTTACAAAATTTACAAATATGATTACATAGACATGCTTCCTGATAGCATCCTGCCTCCATTCTCCACCAAGAACACCCTACAACTCCCAGCACTCACAGGGGCCTGTTCAAGTAGAGGACGCTGAAGCTGAAACTTTGTTAGCTTTGTGGCAAATTCGCTTCTGGTTTTAATTGTAAAACTGTAGGCAACAGGAGCCAGATGGTGGAATTACTTTAGCAGGCAAGCCGTCCTTCCTAATTTCTTTGAAAGTGCACCAAATAGAATTCTCACTGAGTGGCTATAAAGATATAAACAAAGTACAATCCTGTGAAAGTACTATGGCTTAGCAAATGGAGTCTGAGGGACAGGTGTGAGGGGTTGGGGAGGCTGCCCAGACGTTGGCCCCTTAACAGCGCCTCGGATTTCAACAGAGAGGCAGACGGCACTCAAGACAGGAACAAAAACAAGTATGAAAGAACAGGACAGCCCAAGGAAATACCAGAATTTCAGGTGGAGTTTGACTTACGATATATGGGAAGCCGGAGTGAGAAAAATGAGTATAGCCATTGACTGCCTCAGGATTTCAGAGGGTCTTCAGTGCTGCATTAAGGAGTGTGCCCCGAATTCAGATGGCAATTAGAACAACACAGGATAAAAACAAATTTTGTTTTATTTTATTTATTTGATTTTCATAAAAACAATGAGAAATCTTTAATGATATGTTTAGGTCATCCAAGAAATCATCAACAGAACAATCAGAAAGTTGCCAAAGAGTTTTATTATTCTAACACCTTAGATCACAGTAGAGAAAATTTTATATGTGTGGGAGTGGAGATGGGGGTATAAGTTAAAGAAGAGGAAAATCAATAGGTTTCTCCCCTCAGAGAAAAGTCCTCTAAACTCACAATGCATGTAAACTGAAGACACTTGATAATAATGAATCTAATGTTTTAATAGAAGAATTCTACTCAGAATAGTTAAGAAGGCATGTCCAAGAATTAGACTTTCTGAGTTTGAGACTTGGCACCATCATTTACGGTGTGAGTTTGCTGTGCAAAAGCTTATAAGTTTAATTAGGTCTGATTTGTTTATTTTGGTTTTTATTTCCATTACTCCTGGAGACATATCCAAAAAATATTGCGTGATTTATGTCAAAGAGTGTTCTGCCTATGTTTTCTTCTCGTTTTAGAGTATCTGGTCTTATATTAGGTCTTTAATCTATTTTGAGTTTATATTTGTATTTAGTGTTAGAGAATGTTCTAATTCCATTCTTTTGCATGTAGCTGTCCAGTTTTCCCAGCACCTCTTACGGAAGAGACTGTCTTTTCTCCATTGTACATTCTTGCCTCCTTTGTAGTATATTAATTGGTCATAATTGCATGGGTTTATTTCTGGACTTTCTATCCTGTTGCATTAATCTATAGTTTGTTTTTGTGCCAGTACCATACTGTATTGATTACTGTACTTTGTAGTAGAGTCTGAGTCAGGAAGTGTGATTCCTGCAGCTCCGTTCTTCCTTCTCAATATTGTTTTGGCTATTTGAGGTCTTTTGTGTTTCCATACAAAATTTAACATTTTTTGTTCTAGTTCTGTGAAAAATGCCATTGGTAATTTGATAGGGATTGTATTTAATCTGTAGATTGCCTTGGGTAGTATGGTAATTTTAACAATATTGATTCTTCGAATCCAAGAACACAATATATCTTTCCATTTGTTGGTGTCATCTTCAATTTCTTTCATCAGCTTCTTACACTTTTCAGAGTACAGGTCTTTTGCCACCTTGTGTAGGTTTATTCCTAGGTATTTTATGCTTCTTGATGTGATGGTAATTGGGATTGTTTCCTTAATTTCTCTCTTTGATATTTTGTTGTTAGTGTATAGAAATGCAACAGATCTCTATATATGAATTTTGTAACTAACAACTTTACTGAATTCACTGATCAGCTCTAGTAGTTTTCTGGTAGCATCTTTGGGACTTTCTATGTATAGTATCATGCTGTATGCAAACAGTGACAGTTTTATTTCTTCTTTTCCAGTTTGGATTCCTTTTGTTTCTCTTTTCTGATTGCTATGGCTAGAACTTCCAAGACCATGTTGAATAAAAGTGGTGAGAGAAGGTATCTTTGTCCTGTTCCTAATCTTAGAGGCAATGCTTTCAGCTTTTCACCACTTAGTAGACATGGCACTGCCCACCAAAGGGCCAAGACCTAGCTCCATCTCCCAGTAAACAAGCACCAGCCCCTCCCACCAGGAAGCCTGCACAAGCCTCTAGACCAGCCTCACCCACCAAGGGGCAGACACCATAAGCAAGAAAACTATAGATCTGCTTCCTGAAGAGCAACTCCACAAATGCAGGATAGATACTACCCTGGGACCAAGTGGCCTTTGGTCTGTGGGTGACAAGAAGAGAGTGCACTACTGGGATGCACAGGACATCTCCTATAGAGGGCTGCTTCTCCAAGGTCGAGAAATGTAACTAACCTACCACACACATAAAAAAACAAATAGCAATTTAGACAAAATGAGGTGACAGAGGAATATGTTTCAGATGAGGGAACAAGATAAAACTCCTGAAGAACTAAGTGACATGGAGATATGCAATCTATCTGAGAAAAAGTTCAGATAAATTCAAGAAGAAGATATAACCATTGTAAATATATATGTGCCCAACATAGGAGCACCTCAATATACAAGGAAATGTTAACAGACGTAAATGGAGAAATCGACAATAACACAATAATAGCGGGGAACTTCTAACACCTCACTTACATCAATGGACAGATCATCCAGAGAGAAAATAAAGAAACAAAGGCCTTAAATAACACATTATGCCAGATGGTCTTAATTGATATTTATAGAGCATTCCATCCAAAAGCAGCAGAATATATCTTCTCTTCAAGTGCACTCAAAACATTCTCCAGGATAGATCACATGCTGGGCCACAAAGCAAGCCTTGGTAAATTTAAGAAAACTGAAATCATATCAAGAAATCTGTATCTTGATCTGAATGATGGTTATACAAGTATATACATGTGTAAAAATGTATTGAGCTGAACTCTTAAAATTCCTATACTTCTTTTACTTCACTGAAAATATTTTATTCCTCAATTTTTAAAAATGAAAGAAAAAGCAAAAAAATGGCAAAAACTCATCTATACTATTAGAAGTCAGGAGATTAGTTACCCATGTGGTGACCTTGTGACTAGAAGGAAACAAGAGTAGACATCTGGAAAGTTGGTAATTTTCTCTTACTTAATGTAAGTCCTACTTACCTCAGTACCTCAGCATTTTCAGTTCGTGAAAGTTCATCAAACTGTACACTTATGATATATGCATGTTTTTGTAGGTATATTATACCTGACAGGTTAAAAGCGACTCAGTGAATAACAAATGTGTATGTATACATATTTATAAATAAAGATAGTTATACACACACACACACACACACATACATATGACATCAGACCTCCCTATTTGTGATGAAAGAAACAAGTCAGTTTCTTTAAACTGTGCTCTGTAGTCCCACATACGAATCAGCTAAAATAAAATAGCAAAACCCACTTTCTCTTTCTACTATATGGCCCATCTGTGTAAATGAATGTTTGTAAAGACACTTGTATTATGTATACATGGTAATAGTACATTTATTAGAAACTTTTGCACAATAGTGAATTGCAAATCTCTGCAACACAGCTCTTTCAGATGTTATTTTTAACACATGGGCTTTAAGAACAATTAGCTAGAATTACTCTTGGTGTAAAGTGATTTTTCAATTATTTTCTTTCACAGATCTTTTCAGAGTCACAAAAATCTTTACACATTCCTCTTGCCTTAGATGAACTATTGTTTAAAACAAGACTTAAATAGAAATGCAATTTAGATGCTTCTACTAAAGATGTTCTTAAAACATTCCTAGGGCTTAAAAAAAAAACAAAAAACAGATTCACAGACTTTGCCCAATTCCCCTGTAGAGCATTTACAGATGATTTGGATTCTATATTCTATACCTATGCTAACAGCAGGAATTCTTAACATAGGTGTACTTTTAACAGCCACATTGTGAACAGCATGAATAAAGGAATCAACATGACCTCAAATCAAAATATCAGCATAATGCCCTTAGCACCAAAAAGAGAGGAGGGAGTCTTCAGCTCCAGGATAGATGAATGGTACTCAGCAACATTTCAGTTAGCAACTGCAGTCAAGCCTGTGTTGAAAAGCCAGTCCCTGGAATAAACAGGTACCGGTCCACAAGGCAGAAGCAAGAAACTGAGACTCAGTCCACCCTACTCTACTCCATAGCATTTCAGTGAACAACCTAACGTGTAGTGTTTGTAAATAGAGTAACATTTATCACAAACCTTTTTATATCATTGTAGACTTCAAAGTGCCAAGAATGCATTTTATTTAAATATAATGGTAAGATATTTACTTAAAATATCTTACCATTATATTTTTCTAAATTCTCTTTTTCCATGTATGACTGATTTTCCAAATACATATTTCAACAAGCTAGAAAGTACTATATTTGGGGAGAGATTTGGGGGCATCTTTCTTCTTCTGCAGAAGGCAAGACCTAGAAATACATCAGTCATTCATGTCAATTTGTGACAGTTCAAATTGCCCAAGGTATTTGGTAAACTTTAATCACTGTCACAACTCTAAAGGTTACTGAGTAGCTCCAACACAGATTAATTACAACAGTATTGCACGAATTTGAGAGTGGGTGTGTGAGTGAATGCATGTGTGTGTGCTCTTGACAGTTAAATATTCTGGTATAGCAGCATTAAGTTCAGCTACGTGTAACAATAACAACAGCAATAATTATAACAGCACCAACAAATGATGACAAACAAGATGAACATTTATTCTCATTCAGTACTGGACTTAGGCCACCTAGGGCTGTTTTACAGATTCCTGATAAAGTTTCCACCTTTATTGTTCTGCTTCATTTCACAAGACGGATCCTTGTGCTCTAGTCATCATGTCGACATCTCAGGAAAAATTAAAGGGAATAACAATGGCAATCTCATTTCCTTTGAGAGTATTTCCTGAAAGTTGTACATACCACTTACAGTTTTTATTGGTCAAAATTTGTTCATAAGATCACAACCAATGGAAGGGAAAATCAATCTTGAGCTGCACAGAAAGGCATTCAGCTAAAACCTGAGGTTCCTACTAATTAGATTTGATATTTAGAGTAGACAGAATTTTTTTCTTAGTTTAAAAACATTAAATCAGACCCCTAGCCTCCTAGGAAAAACAAAACTTACTAGATGATTCAAATAATTGAAATAAAAACAATCACACTATTATTTACTATAAAGTAAACAAAAGTTAAACTTTATTTTTAAATTGAATATTTCACTGATTTTTGTAAATATAAGTGAAGAAATATTTCTCTATATAAGAGAACACACAAAACTTTAAAAAACTGTATAACTACATTTTATTGGTGGGGGAATCGAAGAGAGGGCTGAGTAATTTCTTTTAAAAGAGAAAAGTTAACTTAGAAATATGAAATAATTTCATCCCACTCCTAAATCAGAATTAATGCTCTGAGTTGGGAGTTATGCTGTCATATTTGAGAAGCTCTGATTTGAACATTCTATTTCTGGAAATGATTTCTTTTAGTAATTACTAACAGTTTATGAAAAGATCTGCAATTTTATTTTTCCAAGTGTTCAAGTAATCTTAACTCATCAAAATGCTAAAATCTTTTATATCACAGTTGTGTAAGGCTTACTCATGTAAATGGCCCGCCTGTTCCCTGACAGCTGGAAACTTTTAGTGTGGATCTGCAGCCTCAGCCCCACCCCAAGCACTGGGACTCATCTGGCCTCTAAGCAGGAATCCATAGCTCACTGTCCAACTTGCAGCTCCACTCTGACCTGGCAACCAGGTTTAGTAGCAAAGACCCTGCACCTTGCCCAATGCCAAGCTTTTCTCATACTAGGGACTCCAAGCATCCTTCCACAGAATACCAGACAGTGCATGTCAACACTGGGAATAAACCTCCCATTAATGGGAACCCACTACTTCATCGTGTAGCCCTTTATACTGTTGGTTTGAACACCCATTCACGTCTTTA